GGCGCAAATTCGCAGAACTCGTATCGCCAAAGTACGTTACAGGTGTTATAAATTTAAAAGATTTGACTTCCCATTTTCTAACGCTTGACAGGTGGCTTTTTCTGAGCTCAGAACAGATTCGACACGCAACTCTGACATTGGACGATTTTCGTAGCGGAAAGCTCGATCGCGGTCAATACAGTGATGCAGAATTGTGGAAATTTCGACAGGGTATTACTTGCTAATAGCACAACCAACTTGTCTAAATGCTAAGCATATAATCTATATTTTTCATACATCAGTGTACGAAGCAGCGGTGCACCCTCAGACTGGCGAAACTGTACCAGCCTTCTTTCGACTGTCAGCTTTTGTGCCAGTGAATATTCCTATCTGCGTTGGAATGCTGCTTGCAACTCCCACGGCACGTTCTCTTGTCAATTTTAAGCTTCACAATTTTTGCTCACCTGGAAGTTTATCTCTTTCAGTTAGGAAACACGATCTTCTGGCAGTGGGTGAATCAAAGCTACAGTGCAGGATTTAATTATGCTAATCGCAATGCCAGCAGTGATCAAGACAATTTAGCCATACTCAGTACGAGTTTTCTGTGCATTCACTGTCCGTATTTTGCCAACTTGAAATTGTGATCATGTGAACAGAATCGTATGCTACCGCTACTTTTGTTTCGTGTTCGACTGCTGTTGGATTGGGCAAAATGGTTGACAAGGCCAAGGGACTTTCCCCCAGTACGCGGTATGCTGGATTTTGTCTCGGAAGTTTTCTAACATGGACAATTCATCTTCAGATGGTGCCATTTGTCGCTGTTGCAAGTGCAGGGGCATTTAATGCTGTCTCAATGCGATTTAACGAGTTCACGTACGTGTCAAGTCTTTGATGATGCTATATAGAACATAGTGTACTGATGGAATTGCTTTTATACGATTTAAGGAGGGTATTGATATCATGGATGAGTACGGCGAGGTACATGGCCGATCTGTTGCTGCCGGACGCCAGTCACTAGGACAAGTGGCACTTACGCGCGTTGCGCTTCCTATGCCAAGTACGCTCTCACTTTGATAACTGGCTGTCGTATTTCTCTTAATTTTTTTTATCTTTTTCAGTCTTGCTGCTTCCACCATACTTGTACGAAGCCATGAACAGAAGAAATATCATGCCCAAAGCGAAGTTTCCAAAGCTCGCTACGGAACTCGGTATGTACATCATCTGATTATCGGTATCTAAATAGCTGACATTTTTGTGTTCATTGACAAGTCATCTTAACGCTCTGTTTATGGGGTGCTATGCCAAGCGCTGTTGCACTTTTCCCCCAAATGGGGACGATTTCGGCCGACAATGTCGAAGAGGAATTTCATTCTCGAGTGGATTGCCATGGTCAGCCCATTCGCCACTTTCTCTACAACAAAGGGATTTGACCATTTCATTCGGTCTTGACCACAGCTTCATTAAACAAGCTTGGTAACAATTTCCGTCGGAATATTGTCAAAATCTCTGTAATGTTGTTGTAGTCTCATTCCTGCAGCAAGTGCTGTCGGTTGTACACAAACCTAGATAAAGATTGTCGTGCAGTACCTCCCCAATGATTAAACTATTAACCGGAGTGCATTAGAGCCAAACTCTCATACTCTCCCTGCGTAGGGGGCAATGACACCGATTGTTTAAATGAGGGGATCGTTGAATTGAAGGGACATGTGTCAACACTTGTGTCATTTGACAAAATGAGCAAACCACTTTAGTTTTTTTAACAGTGATTCATCATCAATGCCGGCAAGAAAAACAATTCTGCTTTATGTAAATAGGAAACATTAGGTGGTCATGAAACCAATCGTATATCGCGAAATTTGCCGGATCACGCCAGAATATTTATCGGTCATTTATTAAGAAACTAAATGACTTAAAAAGGGGGCGAAAAGTATAGTTTAGTGAATTGGCAATTATTGGTTCACAGTTGTATGCCTTGGCGTGAAGGCAGCAATAAGAACACTCGACCGCACAATTTTAATAGATGGCTCTTTCGCATATACGACATAAGGCATTGATCGAGAATTCAGAAATGAAAGATAAATTTTGTATTTAGGCTACTATCTGATCAAGCAAAC